TGCAGATCAATTCCCTTCCCTCTCCCCCCTGGCGCCCACTTACAGATCCGAGCACACACTGTGACTCGCGCATGGCTCCGCAGCACCCGAAGAAGCCCACGGCCATCATCAGGGCCCCTGCTCCCACCAGCACGTAGAGCCCTGTGGGAAGAGGGTGGACAGGACGCTGATCCCAGCACGTGCTCCCTGCACGGTCCTGCCACCACTGCTCCAGTGGCTGCAGGGCAGGACACTGGCTGTTAATAATACAGTGGGTGACACTTGTGGAAAACTTGCTGAGTCTTCAGTCACCTGATTTAAGCGGCACAAGGATCTTGAGAGGTAGGGCTCCTATTGTCCCCCATGAGCAAAGACAGCCGAGCTTACCAAGGTGAGGGGAACTGCTTGGCAAGGAGTGGAAGCTGGCTGGTCTGTCCCAGCTCCACTACCCCTTCTCTCAGTCATCCCACAGGCCTCCTGTATGCCAGGCACCTCATCTTCCAGATTCCCATCAGCCCTGGGGAGTGGGTGTTGCTACCATTGGTGTGAAATTGATGACATTGAGTCAGAAGCCGTCAGGAGTCAGTACCAGAGCGGGGACCTCACCCACACCACCCTAGGAGCCCTTTGCTGCTCATGGGACTCTGGAATTAATGGCTGTCTCCATCTCCTGAGAGGCCAAGAGGACACGGTGTCTGGGAGGGAAAGGGGGCTAAGATCTGCCCAGGCACAGATGGGGAAGCAGGCAGAGGATGGGACACAAGAGGGGGCTTTGGTTAAGGAGAGGAGGGAGGACACAGCAATCAGGCAATAGGTTTTGTGTGAATTTTAAACTTTGGAGGGCAACACCATATACACTGGACCTATGGGAGGTTGTGTTACAAGAATAACCACTGAGGAGGTGAGAAGGTAACATACTAGTACAGCAAATAATGCTGCTATTAATATAACATCAGCTACCTTTATTAAGGGCTCATTTTCTCCAGGCACTGATTTATTCATTTAATCTTCACAAAACAGATACCATTATTATCTCCATTTTTTTTTAGACAGAGGAACTGGGCTCCAAAAGGTTAAGCAATTTGCCTGAGATCATCGAGCTGGGATAAAAATATCCATCTCATGGCCATTTTCCTACCCTGCCTCTGCAGCATAATAGCAGCCTTAATTCAGCGGGAATTCCACTTACTACCGAAGTCGGGCCACAGGAACAGTTGTTCTCACAGGGGAAGAAAAGGGCAGAGATGTTCTTGTTCTGAGAGAAACGACGCCAAGTCTTTTCTTATTTCCTCCTCTGATCCCGAGATAAGTTAGAAACAATACCAGGCCTGGCACTTAGAAAAATGCCGATCACCACTATGTTATTTTTTTGCATTTTATTCATATGAGTCACCTGGAAACCACTCCCATTCACAGCATGGGTGGGGAGCTGGGTGCCACACCCATGGGGAAACCCTGAGCCTGGCCTGCAGGGTCCCTCCGGGGGCCCCTCTGGGTGCTGACAGTGTTCGTGGGCACTGACCCATCTGTTCCCTGACGCGATGGCTGCTCTGCTTCCTGCCAGGCACACACTGTTCTTGGGCCCTTTTCTGGGCCAGGGAAGCCCTTTGCTCTGCAGTCCTAGGAGCTTTGCCACTTCCTCCTCTCTCCTTCCCTCTAAAGGAGTGATTGCATGGGGAATGGAAGTGATAACGAGAGAAATGATTCCATATTTAAATACTAGTAAAACTATTGTTGGTCCCACTGCCTAAACACCTTATTGTTGTTAAAAATTTAAGTTTCAAAGCGTTTTTGTTTCTATCATCTCACTGACTCCTCAAAACACCCCCATAGGTCAGGCAAGTGTTACATTTCTCTTTTACTCGTGGGGTCAGGGGAGCAAGAGGGCTCCAGGCAGGACACACAGGGTGGAGGAGTTCCTACCCCACCCACACAGGCTCAGGGCAGCCACCACACCGCCTAGTCAGTTTCCTCACAGAATGTCTCATGGGCGGACCACCTCACTGTATCCGTTTCCTGCTTACAACCGTTCATTGCCTCCCCACTGCAAGACACAGTCCACAGGTTCTGCTTGGGGCCACAGCCTAGGCCCCCACCCGCTGCTCCTTATCCATCTTGCACTCCAGCCACATGGGAACTCACTGGGCTCTAACCCCACCTGCTCTTTTCCATTTTGTGCATTTGCAGGTTCTCACATGTGTCTTTCTCTGTAGATGTTAAACCTTATTCATCTGACCTAGAATATGCCTAGCACATGGCAGAAATCTCAGTCCGTGTTGTTGGGTGTGAAGAGTAAGAGAGAGCAAACCAGGTCTGAAGTCCTGTCCTGGCTGTCTGCCATCGCTCATCGTGACTTAGACACACGCTGGAAAAACATCCCAGCAGATGTCCAAGAAGCCACACAGGGCTGGGCCCTCCCAAGGCCAAGTAGTTGAGGACATGGCTGCATTCCCTGAGAAAAGGCCCCCATTCAGCAGACAGAGGCCCCAGGGCCTGAGGAGGACAGAGCTGCCCCCACTGGCAACAAGCTCGCCGGTCCCTCGGGCAGAGTCCTTGCCCTTCTGAAATCATGAGCTCCCTGAGAAAATGTGCTTATTTGTACAATATTATTTGGACTCATATGTTAGGCTGTCAGAGTCCCAGAACTCACAGCAAAACACCCTGATGCTGCCCCAGCAGCCCCAGCCCCTGAGGCCTCTCCTTAGCAAACCTCTGTGTGTACTGGGCCCCTGCCTCAGCCCAGCGCCAATGAGCCCTGGTTGGGGGAGCTGAAGGGGAGACTAGGAGAAACTCAACAAGTGGCACGGTCCCTTGGGCCTGCTGATCTAGTTGTTAATACTCAGCACACCACTGTGACTTCCCAGGCTACCTTCTTCTCTTCTGATCTGGCTCCAAAAATAGCTGTTGAATGAATACATTAATTGTCACATTTTAATTCCAAGATGGTTTCTGCAGAGCCCTCTCCCTCCCGCAGCAGCCTGTGTGACAAGTGTCTGACCTATTTCCCAATTCCCCAGGCTTCCCAAGGCCTATTCCCGTGGACTTGGAAAGAAGGGAAACCACTTTGAAATTGCATTTTTATCACAGCTGGGCCTCCAGATGCGTGATCCCCAGGTGACAGGCTGCCAGAAATGCCGACCACACCCTCACTTGTTTCTTAGGTCTCAGACTCTTCTTTTCAGTTAACACGGAGAGGAGACACAGTGCCCTCCTCAAAGCCCTGTCTGCGCCCGTCCGGGTGGCTTTACAATGGCCCCCCCTTCAGGGACTGGATGGTGCGTGGCACGGTCATTAATTAGAGTGGCTTTGTGGCAGCAGATGGTTTTCATAGCCGGCTAATGACTATTTTTCATCTAAAAATATTTTCCTATGCCTCTGCAACTCTCCCTCCCTCTCTCCCAGCTTGGACGCACATAATTATAGGTGTGTCTGGAAATATTGGATGGGACTTAGTTCATGGGGAAGGTGAGGTCTTGGGTTCTCTCTAAGGAACAGCAGCCATCAGTTACTGAGCACTGTTCTAACGTATCAGTCACAGAGTCATTAAACCCACTTTCCAGAGCCTGGGCCTGGACAGTGCAGCCAACAGGAGCTGCTGCTTGAGAAGACAAGCAGTGACATCAGCCACTCTCCTGTTCTGACTACCTGGCGTCTAGCCCCTCCTTCATCCTTTCGTCTCCTGTTCTCTTATGCGTCCGCAGGCTGGCTCTCTCTGCAGCCTGCCCTCATTCCACAAATAACCACAGCAAATATTTATTCAGGGGTATGACACATCAGGTATTAAATCTGTTAAATCATCTACTCACACGGCCCTATGAAGGATTTATATTGCGCAGCTGAGGAATCTGACACTCAGAGAAGGTCAGTGATTTTCCTCAGAGTGCACAGCTAGTGAGGGGCAAACCTGGCCTGAGCCAGGGCTCAGCTCCAAAGTGCACACCCAAACTCCTTCCAACAGGAACTCAGAACGGGACTCTCTTAGCTCGAAATCCATTAATTTTGCAATTTGTAAGTGCAGGAGGGTTCTTTTTCTTCTTGCTTGGGAAAAGCACTGAGTTTTCGTGGAAAAATACAGAGCTGGGAGCCAGAGATCCAGGGCTGCCAACTGGCTTTCGGTAAAGCCTCTTGTTCCTCAGTTTTGTTATCTGCGATATGGCCCTAACGATCCACTCTCTTCTAAAGATGCTTTGGAGAAATTGTCTCAGCCACGCCAGCTACAGCCATCTCTGTTATGCAGCTACCATGACTCTTGGGTACAACTGAGAACCCAGAAATGAAAAAAAAAACGACCAGAGTGAGTCAGTGTTTAAAAGGCAAGCCAGCCCCTCAGCAGGAGCCTGGAACACAGTCTGTACACATCCAGCCGCAACCCCAGCCGGGCTCCGCGACAGCATTCGACAGGGAGCGGCAGCCCGTCGGCTAGGATCCTGGAGAGCCCAGCGGCTGCTGTCTGTGGGCAACCCCTCCGTGCAGCCAACCTGCGAGCGTCCTCGGCTCAGACATGACTGCATGTGCTCGAGCCCACAGTCTCTGCAGCCTTCAGACTTGGGGGACTGCTCCCAGGAGAATCCTGGGCCCTGAGGGGTCTGTCCCTCCAAGAGGCAGCCCCAGACACAAACTAACAGCAAGCCAGAGGGCAGCTGGTGGGATTTGGAAGGCGAGTTCACTGAAAGACGAAAAAGAAGAAATGGAGAGGGTCTAGGAAACACCAGGTCATTCCAACCGTTCCTGCCGCCAACTCCACTTTTGCCAGATTCCTTCTCCACGCTGGCACCGGTGGATACAGGCACCGGGGATTGGCTGCCAGGCCTGGGCCCGGACTCACAGGTCCCTGAGGAGAGGCAGCAGGCGGCAGTCTACCTCCCTCCCTCATGGCCCTGGTGCACTCCCCTCAGGCTGGATCCTGGCAGCGAGAGCTTGTCCAGATCTTTATTCCAAGAAAGGACCTTCTCTCCATCACTAGGGAGGAAGGACCAAGGATCCCAGGAAGAAAAGCAACCCCCAAAGATGGAGGGTTTCTCCTACAATGTGTGGCAGTCACCCGCCCAGAAGCAGGGAGCCAGACCACGTGTCTTCTTGAGGTGTCTCTAGAGGGACTCGAGGCTGTGAGGCCCTATTCCTTTAAGAGCCACTCGACTGTGCCAAGCCTGTCCCAAACACTC